TTACATGGAAAATATGAAGCTGTATGGAAAAACACCATCTGAAATGGAATCGCTGCTCAACGCCATCCAAATATACAGCCAAGATATTGCAATGGAGTTTGGACTGGACAAATGTGCCACCCTTACCATCAACAGAGGAAAAATAGTGAAAACTGAAGGAATCAAGATGCCCTATGAAGAAGATCACTACAAATGTCAGTTTGGGCAACCTTCAAACTGACAACATCAAGCACATTGAAGTCAAGGTTAGCAGTGAAGACATTAAAAGAGTGAAGAAGATCTTAAAGTCCAAACTCAGTGGAGGAAATACCATCAAGGCAATTAACACCTGGGCAATTCCAGTCATTAGATATACAGCTGGAATAGTGGACTGGACAAACTGAACTAGAAGCTCTGGATAGGAAGACCAGAAAAATAATGACAATGAATCATGCCCTTCATCCACACAGTGACGTTGACAGACTCTACTTACCAAGGAGCACAAGTGGGCATGGAATGTTGCAAGTACACCAGACAGTTGAAGAAGAAAAAAGTGCATTGGAAGAATATCTGAATGACAGTGAAGAAGATGCACTGAAGCTAGTACCCCATGAAGGCTTACTGAATATTGAAGAGACCAAACTGGCCTATAGGAAAGATCAAATGAAGAATAGAAAAGAGATATGGCAAGACAAAGTATTACATGGCCCGTACACAAAAAAACTAGCAGGCAAAGCAGATAACAATAAGACCTGGCAATGGCTAAGAGCAAGAAAGTTGAAGAAAGAGACAGAAGGGCTAATTCTGGCTGCACAAGCAAGCCTTAAGAACAAATGCATACAAAGTCAGAACTTAGAAGAGAGCAACAGACAGAAAATGCCATCTCTGCAAGGAAGTTGAAGAAACAGTGGACCACCTAGTTCGTTGCTGCAAGAAGATCACACAGACTGACTATAAACAACAGCATAACAAAGTAACAACAATGGTGCATTGGAATATTTGCAAGAAAGACCATTTGCCTACAAGCAAGAACTTGTGGGACCACAAAACAGACAAAATAATAGAAAAAGAAGAAGCTAAAGTGCTCTGGGTCTTTAGAATTCAAACAGACAAGCACCTGCCACCTAACACCCAAGACTTAACAATTGTTGATAAGAAAGACAAAAAAGTCTGCATAGTGGACACTGCAATATCTGGAGACAGTAGAATGGAATAGAAAGAACTGGAGAAAATCACAAAAAACAAAGACCCACAAATAGAAATAAACTGATGGCAAAAGAAAGCAAAGATAGTACCAGTAGTAATAGGCGCCTTGGGTGCAATCCAAAAACATCTGGAGCATCACTTGAAGACCACTGTCATTGACAAAATCACTATCAGTCAATTGCAAAAGGCAGCTTTACTTGGAACAACTTACATCCTGCGACAATACCTTTAACACCATCAAACAACAACATCTGCCTATCCCAGGTCCTTGGGAAGGACTTTATAGGTAGATAAAAATACCAAATCCAGTCTAAACATCTGGCTGACTGAGCATCCAACAACAACAACAACAACAACAATCTAGGTTTGTAATTAATACCAGCTTATTGTTTTTTCAGGTCTTTTTGCCAGTGAGGAAGCATGGGACTACAACACTCATGT